CGCAAAACAAGCTCCAGCCCGCACAAATGCCCCGGAGAAGGCGGACCCGCGGCCAACCAAAAAAAAAGGACCCGTAAAAAAAGAACGGCAAGTTGGGCAAGACAACGACAGCGAAACTGCACTACCCCTTGGACGACATGGCGAAGGTTCAACCTCCGGACCTCATGCTGGACGACCCCTCGCCCACTCGACAAGATCTTCGACGCGGACACGCGCGCGGTGCTGAAGCGCTGCATCCTCGTGGAAGTGACGGCGCAGTGCGTGAAGGACGAGGTTCGCGAGAAACGAAAGATCAGATCCGAGAAGCGGTTTCCCTGGCAGAGAGTTTGAAGACAATGTACAGCGGCCAGTAATTCTCGGACTGCAAGCGGCAGGTACAGGCCCGGTGACACAGCGGGGGCGGCCTGCCCTTTCCAGTACGAAATACCATGCAGAAGCCCGATTGAACGCACAGAAAAAAAACGCTTTGGCATGAGCCCGGTTTCATTGCTTTGCATTTTGCATCGTTTCCTCAACCCATCAGAGCCGTGCCAGGTCTGCCGAAGATAGATCTTGCAGGAGGCGTGGGAGCGCTACAAAATGCTATTACTCCAGGCCGTACATAAATGTACACCCTAGAGTAATAGCTTTTGCACGGTTTTGCACGGTTTTGCGCTACAAAATGCTATTACTCTAGTCCGTACATAGATGTACGGACCGAGTAATAGCTTTTTTAGGATAGTCAATTCCGACGGAGCCTGCGCAATGCCTAAAAGCCAGTTTTTTCGCTCGATCAGGAGTCAATTCCGACGGAGCCTGATCAAACAGTTTTTGCACCAAAAGGGCCTGAGCAAGGCTCCTCTAGAACGACAATGCCTCGAAACCATAAAGGCTAGTCGAGGGTCCTGGGCCTCGGAGGCGCCAGGAAGTCGTCCAGCTGCCTCACAGCTGCCGGCCTGCCCCGTCTCGTCAGTCGGCCCGCCGCGTTGCCGCTGCCCTGCGGCGCCGGCAGCGCCAGCTTCAGCAGGGTCTCCCGGCCCTCGAGGCTCCGGACGGTCATGGAGTCCACGGCCCGCAGCTGCTGCGCGTCGCCGTACTGTGAGCGCCTCCATTTTACTTGTTCTTCGGCCCCCGCTGGGCCTGCCAGGCTCACCTCGTCCAGCCGGGCCTGGAAGCCCTGGCACACCCCCCAGAGCACGCTGGTGAGGTGTCAGTAGTCGAGGGTGACCATCTCCGTGCGCCTGCAAAGTCGTTCGAGGCGAAGCCTCCCCGTTAATGTCGGGGCGCTTGTACTGCTTGGCCTCCACGGAGTCGAAGAGCTGCTTGAGCTCCTCCACGTCGGCCTCGGCCATCTCCGTCTTCACCCGGCTGTCCGACAGGTTGGTGAAGCTCGTGTTGCAGACCACGTTGCCAATGTTGCCTGCGATCACGAGGCAGCCGGGGTTCCTCTCAAAAACAAGCTCTTTCATTATAGGGTTTGCCATTTTGGCGGACGGTTTTCGGCCCACTGGTGGCAGCGCACTGGAGCCTTCCTACTGCGCCAAGTCCACGGTTTGCTGGCATGGCAGCCGCGCAAGGCCTTCTTGTTGGTGGACGACCACGCACCAGAAATGTTCGCCTTGGTGGCCCTGTTTTGCTGTGCCATTGCCGCACCAATTTCTTGGAAGAAAGCGCAATTCCAGGATTGCCTCGTGTGGTGCGGATGGGAGATAAACTTCTCCCACGATACCATCCAGCTCGTAAAGGCCAAGCTGGTCAAGCTGGAGGCATTCATCACCACCCTTCTAAGCAAACGAACGGTGCCTCGCAAAACGTTGGAGCAACGCATTGGCCTGCTCATCTGGGCTACCAGCATCGCATTGCGCTTGAGATCATGGATGGCGCCGCTGTACGCCGATCTTAATAGCCCTCCAGGCTCCATGCGCTCCATCCAGCCACAAATGTGGCCTGCCTTTCGAAAATCTTTAAATAAGGATTTGAAGGCCTGCAGCAGCCTTCCCAGCCTGTGGATCTCAGCAGGATCCAAAGTTTTGGAAATCGCCGGCCGCAAGGTGCACTGCCTTGAGGACATCCCACGCATTCCAGGTACCAGCAAACGTACATGGGTCCGCATAGCCGACCCAAACAACCCACTCACTGCCCTCTCCAAGGCCAGCCAGACTTGTGTCGAGTGGCTGGGATCCTGCCTTGGTCTGGTTTGCTGAAACCTGGTCTATGCAGGATGTCTGGCCCGCCCTCACCAAGCCGGCGCAGCGCCACATCGCCTGCTTTGAGACGCTAGCGCAACTAACTAGCTCTCCTCCAAGCCACGCACAGCCGTATTGGCGGCGGACATTACTCATTTACCCTCAGGTACTGACAACTCGGCTGCAGAGGCAGGCATTAACAAAATGTTCACGACATCTTGGCCTTTGGCAAATTTTCGTGCAGCTTGTTGCCTCCTGGGCGCATGCCAAAAACGTCCTCCTGCAGCCGACTCATCTGCCAGGGCGCTATAATGAGTGGGCAGACGATTTGAGCAGAAATCGCCTTGCGCGTTTTGCGCACCGCCCTGCGGATCGCGTGCGCTTCAGCCCTGCGGGCCTCGCGTGAGCAGGTAGAGGCATCACATTGCGCCCAGCAGAAGCGCCATGGCGCCCAGAACATCTGGCTGCTGCAGCATGGAATTTGGATCAGGCAGCCAATCCTGCCTTTGCATGATCCGGAGATGATAAGGGTCACCTCTTTGCCTACGCGCCTTGCCCTGCCGAGCCGCGCTGAACAGGGCCGCACAGAACCCGCCTGTGCCTTCGCCACGTGCGCGTGCCGAGTTTGAGACCGAACTCGACCCATCAGGAAAATAGTTTCCGGTGGCAGCGCAGTTGGCAAACCAATGTTGTGCATTGCAAGCAATGCCCTTGCATTGTTCTCCCTGTACTGCCTTTCGCCGCAGGTGCAAGGGGACTTTGCGCCTTGGCCTCAATCGCCTTTTCCGGGGTTGCCTTGGGAAGCACTGAAGAAGGGGAATACCTTGCCCCTTGTCCTGGGTGCACCGCAGTGCCCCAGGAAACCCGGTCAAAAAGGTGTGCGCCATTGCGGTCGGCTTTTGGTTCTGGGTTATGGGTGATTTGAGGCTAGGAGCAGTGCGCGGGACCTTTAACGTTAAGGGTTTTCTTTTCCCTTGTGTTTATAGGTCTGGGGTGAATCTCCTACGCTTTCAAGAGGGTCTTCCCTCCTTGACTCTGTGGGAACGTTTGCTTGGACGCCCGGTTGAGCTGGTGCTACACGAAGCCAACCAAGCCACTATCCTCGTTGCCAAGAAAGGTTACTCCCCAAAAATGCGGCACATACAGCGCACTCATAAAGTGAACTTGTCCGCGCTTGCGGAGCAACTTGAACCTGGCACGGGTGTAGTGATCAAGTACGTAGCAACCGATCTTCAGGCAGCCAACGTCTTCACAAAAGCACTACAACCCTTGAAGTGGGGCCACGCTCTCAAGCTTTTGGTCATTAGAACAAATTTGCCCGAAAAGTTGAGAGATGTCTGGCCTGAGATGACCAAGCAGTGAGAAAAGTGCAGAAATCACAGGTAAGCCCTCTTATTGGTCTGGTAAAGGAGCTTGCATCACATGGCTTGCAGCTCAAGCGCGACTGTGAAGTACAAGTCTCTTAGTGAGGACGGGGAGGGGGGAGTTGAATAATCACGACCCCTTGACCCCCAAAGAGGTACCCCAGAAGGGTGTGCATGCATGTGATGTTAGAGGCCCCGTTGACTGCATGAAGACATGTCGGACGGCAATGACCGTTTGGCTCAAGTGTTATGCCCAAGTCAAAGCCAGGGTTTGTGCTTGCTTACCGGACTGGGGTCAATAAAGGTCCCGGGCTCTGGTTTGCCGTGTTTCTTTCCCTGCAGCTTTTTTCATCGCGTTCTCCAGCCTTCTGACGAGCTGTGCTCCAACGAACACTTGCTGCGCTTGGCCCACGAGCAGGCTCCCAGTTTGCGTGCCCCTACCCAGATTATTTCCCAAAAGCGTATTGAATACCTTGGTCATATTCTCCGACATGCGAACCAGTATGAGCAGTTTGTTTCTCATCCGCCCATGCTTACCGACAGATTGCCTCCCCTTACCGGCGCGGGGCTTTACGTGCTCACTGGCCTGAAGTTGCCATGACAGAGGCCTACCACCGCGCTCTCCTGCGCAATGCTGGCTCCTTTCCTTCGCCTTACGATCTTGCCCATGATGCGTACCAGTGTGGGACCTTGTCCATGGTCAAACATTACAATGGACACTCTATGCCCGCACGTTCCCAATGGAAACTGTTGTGTTTTCCGAATCGACGCAGATGATTTTTCAAGTGCACTGCTGACATGTGTTCTGCTTGGGACGTATTGCGCTGTTCAAAAAGATGTTGCGTTGATGGCTTGCTCTGCATACTTGTATATCAGCTATGCTTGTTGCTTGCTCACTGGCGCATGCTCGTGAGTTTTCTTTCACACGCTCACTGACTTGCGTTGGCGGGGTTTGAGTGGCATGCACTTTTTGCCAGAAGCCCCAAAAATAAGACAAAACAGAATTCACTGTAAAACGCACGGAATGTTCATCATGTCAATTGCATATTTGCAAGGGCGGCAAGACAGCCGGCTACCTTGTTTGGCCGGTTGCCACCGGCATGCTTGCAAGCTTCCGTTCTCAACACATTAAAAGCGACGCTGGATGTCCTCACTTCGAATGAACACACCTCCAACGAAAAGTTTCGATGCTGACTCATGGCTGTCGGCCAGATGTTTCCATAGTTAGCAACGTATTGATTTGTTTGGTATTGTACATGTGGTCAGAAGCTTCGCACAGTTGAAACCCATGACGGGGGCATGCTTCTGGCTACCGGCTTGGGTTTTTTGGCTGACACCATGATGTTGAGGTTGGGTTGATGTTTGTTGTTCGGTTGCTTTGGCATTGGACTGATAAGAAAGTGTATGAGATGATGGATGCCTTGCTTTGCACATTCTTTTATGTGCCTTCCGTGGCTTTTGGTCCACGCACAGCGAACGGGACCTCTTCGAGTCAGCAAGACCCTTTGTGCTTCCGCACAAGAGCATGAGCGCATATGCGTCTTTTTTTGTTGGTGTTTGTTTGTGTGCCCTTGAGGTTTCCTGTGGTTGGCACCCTAGCCATGGAAATTGCTCTGTGTTGAGATGCATGACATTGCCAAGGTTAGCTTTTCCCTCGCGTTCCCAATCGCTTCCGGTAGGCGCGGCTGAGATCATGATTTGCACTACGGATTTGGTGCCAGGTTCCATCGAACCGATGTTGCGTTACCAACGCGCCCCTTCCTCAATCTGAGCTTCATGTTGTGCTGGAAGCCCGGGCCCGATGTGAGGTCAATGCTGGCGGTTTGAAAGATACGTGCTCGTACCTCAGCGCGTTCGCATCTAAATTTGATCGCATGGACCCGCAAGGTTGACTCCCTATGACGGCGGCGGGAGAGGCGAGTGTTTTCGACGTGCGAGTTTGTGAATTTGGGTTTTTGTTTGCTTCCTTTTGCTTCTTTGAACTTCCTTTTGCTTCTTTGATTCTTCTTTTGAACTCCTTTTGCGTTCTTCTGCTTGTTGAAAGTTGCGATCTGAGGCCGATCCGGTCCTCCAGGCTGCTGGCTTCGCCGTCTGCGGCGAGGAGCGGAGAGAGAGAGAGCGAAGCGGGAGAGCGGGAGAGCGGGAGAGAAGTCCAAGGACGAAGGCGCTGATGACGAGGTGGGAATGTGCGGAATGTGCGGAAAAAACGAATGCAGAAGTGGGAAGCCGAATTGGCCTCACAGACTCGAAGCGAGGATGGCAGTCTTTGCCCTCCCCCGCGTGCTTCGGTGTTGCTCGCTCATGTCGCACAAAGGGTGTCATACCATTTGTGCCTTTGCCTAGGTGCGGGGGAGGGGACCCGAGACTACCAGAGGGGCTCGGAGTTCGAGCCATGCCTTTGGAGCTTTGGTCGTTCGAGAAGGTGCTTGACACTTTTGAAACTTGACACTTTATGGCACTACCTTTGGAATTGCAGGGCTCTGTAAGCGCTGGAGTTGGTTTTGTGCGCAGCTCAGCGGTGAGGGAGTGTGAGACTGGAGCGGTCAAGCCTTGTATGAGGCCTGTGCACGAGATGTGGCAAAAAGCCTGCTGTACGCGAACCTCATGTCAACCGGGGAGGAGCCAGGCAGCAGAAGCAGATTTTCGAGGTGTCCTCAGACGACTGTGCGTCCAGGCACAGATGCTATGAAAAGTGCCATCCGCACGCTTTTGGACTTGGCAGAGGCGACTCGCAAGGCAAAGACTTGGTGATATCTGCTGCGGTCAGGCCTGCAGTACCAACAAGATCATCATGGGTCTCAGTCCGGAACACGCCAGCTGCTGGCCCCTTGGGTTTGCTGTGAGACATCTCGCAGCGCAAAAGAGTTAGGCGAATGGCTGGCGTGCTCACTTCTCCGGCTCGGTTTTCAGGCAGGCGCAGCGGCCGGACCGACGGACCGGCCGAACCGGCCGAACCGGCCATCCAGGTCATCTCATTGCGCAAGTGCCCCGAGTTGAACGCAGCGCCGGGACTCTCGGCCTCCCGTACCTTCCCGTACCTTCCCGTACCTTCCCGTACCTTCCTGTACCTTCCGTAGGCTGTCGCTGGAGTTCGACATGGGCCCACCTGCGCCGCTTCCAAGAGGTCTGACTCACGGACACAGAGGAGGCAATTTGGCAAGCGCCGCGCAGGAAACGTGATCTCCTCCTCCGACTACACTTGCAGCGGCACCTCCGAGTGCTCCACATCCGCAGAGGAGACATCGAGTTTCGGTCGAGTTTCAGTCAGGGCTTGCCAGAGGCTTTGTCTTTGTTGATTCGTCACACCGCTCCAGGACCAGGATCAACCCCAGTGCGAATCGGAGTGCTCACCCAAGTGTGCACTCAGGTCCCGTATTTTAGTTGATGCGACCACGGTACGGATTGCGGAGATGTGTTGTGCTGCAGCAAGTCCTAGGTGTCAAGATAGCGACTAAAGTCTCCACGGGCCTCGTCACAGCCTTCGCCAAAACCTCGGTTGATAGAGAGGCAGAGAGGCAGAGAGGGAGCGAGTGTGAGGCTGGCAGCCCTGTGGGCCTTCAGGACAGGAGCAAAACGAAACCCAACGTTGGCATCCCGTCTCTGGGAGGCCTTTGCTGGTAGTGGCACAGAAGTTGCCTGGACACTGGCTGAGAGTTGGCTGGGAGTTGGCTGAGAGTTGGCTGAGAGTTGGCTGAGAGTTGGGTGAGTGGGGTGAGTCTGAGTCGAGAGAGCACCGAGGTTGCGACCTTGCCTGCTATAAATGAATTGTCTCGCCGGGCTGCGAGGCAAGGCGATTCTGCTCTGCTCAGTTGGCCCTTTCGGCTCGGCTAGGCGCCCATGGCGTGGAGCAAGGGCAGACCTGAGGGGATGCACTCCACGGCAGGTGGGAATAGACAGCGTATGTCTATATATGTGTGTTGCAAAGCAAGCGTGACCATGTGTCAGGTTGGGTGACTCGTTGTTCGTCGTGGTGATGATGCGAAAGCAGCTGGAGTCTCAGCCCCCGTCCGTGTCCGTATCCGCTCTCCCGAGTCTGCGTCTATTAGGCCTGGAAGCACTGGGCTTCTAATGTGTCACGTTGCCCGTATCTCAGAAAAGCAAGGCAAGGAGAGAGGGACTTAAAGAAAGAGAGAGAGAGAGAGAGAGAGAGAGAGCGCAGCGAGCTATGGCCATGAGTCGAGGCCCAGCATAATTCGCTTCGGCGTCCTTGCGACCGCCCAGAGTAAAGCACGAAGGTGCTGCTTTCGCCCCAGACCAAACCCAAAATGGCCAGATGGGCTGAGCAAAGCATAACTGGTTCGCCCAGGGTTCGCCCTTGTTTGCTGTTTGGAGATGCATGGGGGTGAGAGCTTTGGGCTGCTTTCCAAGTCGCAAGGTTTCTTGGCAGCTCGATCAGCCAGGCTTCACAAGATTTTTCACTACACTTTCATTTGGGTGCTTTTGGTGATGGAGTAAGCCAAGCGCGGACTGTCACGTTTTTTTTTGCTCGCGTCCGTACAGCGGCATGAGAAACCTTGGCACCTTCCGCAAGGGTGGAAAGTCCGGCGCCTTGTCAAATCGAGTGCCGCACAAGGCAGCGCCTAAAGACCAGAGTTCTTTTTGCGAAGTTGAGGCTCAAAAGCGCTCGGCATCTCGAGTGTGGGAAATTGCTGCGCAGCCATGGACTATGAATCTGGGATGGTGGCTGCTGGTGCCAGTCGATTCAAGGCCCTTGCATGTCGTGCTTGCATTTCATTTCTCTCGTCAATCAGACGAGGCCCAGCTGTGAATCGGAGTACAGTGCCTTGACACGTTAGCTTATGCCATGCTCGCGCCATGAAAATACACCTGTTTCAATCTTGCTTTCTTCTGTATTTCCGAACATCTTCGTCTGTGCCTTCTTGCTCTTTTTTGCTCTTTTTCGCCTTCTTCGCCTTCTTCGTTTCTTTTTGCGTTTCTGTTTCCGCATTTTTTCCGAGAACGCCTTGAGGCGCGGGCTTCCGGGGCTTCGCCGAAGCGTCGGGGGCCCGGCTGGCGGACCTGGCGAACCGCCTGGAGCTGCTGGCGCCGCAGCTGGCCCTGGCGGAGCAGCAGCTGGAGACCTGCCGCGGACGCCAAGGACCGCCGAACTGCGAACTCAAAACAACTCGTGAGCTTTCTCCTTTCGTACAACTTCCATGCTTTCTCCTTTCGCAAGGCTCGTTCTCAGTTGCCTTTCGTCTTTTTCCATGAGCTTTGGAATTTGTTCTCGCTGGATTGCGGTTAGTTTGACAGGCCGCTATTTTGACATCCAGCGGGCCTCTCAGAGTGCTCTGGAGGGTCGATCTCCGTTTCCTGACTGAGCTGAGGCTCAAGATGCATGATTACATGGTCTCCACTGGATTCACACTGGAGCCAAAGCAAGGGACGCCTTTCGCGCCTCGATTCGGATCTCAGCGCGTCGCTTTTTTTTTTTTTTGGTCTTGTGGTTGCGCGAGATCGGAGCGATCGGAGCCATAGGACCGAGTGCTGCCCTTCGGCCTTTGCGCGCCACCACAGTGCGCTGACCAGCTCGGAGAAGTGGTGGTGCACCAACTTGACAAAGAGTGCCCCTTTGGGGGAATGTGACTTGCGGCTCTCAGGTGCCTCGTTTCTTGGGCTATGTCCTCCAAGTGAACCACTCCATGGGAGCTGCTCGGCCAAAGCGGATGTTTGAGCCGCTTTTTTCTTCCTTTTGGCTTGCCATTTCGGGGTCGCTTGTGCTCTCGCTCTCGCGATCCGAGGTTGCCACTCCCGAGGTGCTCAGAGCACACGAGCTGGCGAGCTGGCAGGACGTACGGGACGGGAGACGGGAGACTCTCAGGAGAAAGTGTCAAGCTACGTGCTACACTCCCTGCATTTGTGTTGCATGTATGTTCACTGCAGGCCTTGAGCTCACTTCGCATGAGTCAAAAGGTTGGCAGCTGCAGACTACATTGGTTGACTGTTTGTTTGAACACTACAGCACTTGCACTTGTAAGTTTCAAGTAGCAACCAATTTTAACGTGGTAGCTGAGATCCTAAACATAGGGGAGCTCCAGTAAGCAGTAAGCACTACAACCACAGCAACAGCAGTCACATGCCAAACTACTACGACATGTCAGGAGAAGCAGCATCAGCCTCAGCACAACAAACTACAGGAGCAGAGAACGGGCCAACAGCAGACACAGTAGGAGCCACGACTACGGGAGCAGGAACAGAACAAGACAACGACGTTCAGAGTTACATAGATACAAACTGCCACCACCCTTCTTCACTGGTGACTACTCCCAGTATGAAGAATGGCTGTTCAAACTACAAGCATACCTCGGCCTCATAGACCGAGACTTCGACCTGGTGCTACAGCTAGCACAAGTGGCTACACGACAGATTGAGGACACAGACATCAGAACACACATACTCGACCCTACACAAGCAAGCAAAGCAGTAGACCTCTCCAGAGATCTACACTACATCCTCATCAACATCTGTCAGGGAGCAGCAGCTACAGTAGTAAGGCAAAACCGCTACAACGCAAACGGATGTGAAACACTGCGACTCCTACACAACAGGTTCAGCCTACCAGTAGGAACAAGAAGCGTTGGCTACCTTACCAAACTACTGGAACCTACATTCAACGAAGCGCAGTTTGAAGAACAATTCCTACAATGGGAATACGACATCAACCGCTACGAGAAAGACAGCGGCGCAGCACTACCAGATGGAATCAAAATAGCAATACTACTCAACAAAACCAAAGGAGCACTGCAGCAACATCTCCAACTGCGAGCTGGACAGATCACGAAGTACATCGAGATCAGAGCAGTCATCTTGGACTACTACAAGACGATTTCAGCCTTCTCGAGATCGACTTCAGCAGTAGGAACAAACTACAATGGAGGAGCTGCACCAATGGATGTTGACAACATATGGAGGAAAGGAAGAAACTACAAAGGCAAAGGAAAAGGCGAAGGCAACTACAAAGGAAGCAAAAGCAAAGGCAAGTACAGGAGTAAAGGACACTACAAAGGATTCGACAAAGGCAACAAAGGAAACTACAACAAAGGAGGATACAACAAGAGCAAAGGAAAAGGCTACTCAGGATCCAAAGGATATGGATCAAGCAAAGGCTACAAAGGCCAAGGAAACTACAGCAAATCAAAAGGAAAAGGAAACAACAACTACACAACATGTCATCGATGTGGCAAGCCTGGCCACTGGGCACAAGAGCAGAGTGCCAGTATGGCACATAGGAGAAGGAGAAGAACTACATCCACTAGAACAAGAACAAGCAGATCATGACAACAATGAAGAACTACCTCAGGATGTGAACGACACCTGGGACTGGTACTACGAAGGAGAAGAAGGACAACACGAGGTAAACTACATGGAGGAGAACTGGAACGACTACGACTATGACAACAGCTGGGACTGGAACGACAACAGCTATGAGGACACAGCAAACTACATTGGAGGCATCAAGCATCAACGAGTCACACCTCACCATTGGACACATCAGACAAGCAAAGTCACGACTACACAAGCACAAATCCAAATCACTACTTGGCAAGAAAACAACACACACAACATCATGGAACGACCGCAGCAAGAGCTTTCAACAATTCCTACAAGAAGACGCCACACAGCTACACTTCGACATAGCAGCAGCAACACAACAGCAAAGGAACAAGAAGATTGAGGACACTATCACACACTACATCATGTACTCCAACTTCAAGTCATACCACCACCTGTTGATCGACTCAGAAGGACTACGCGCCAGACCTAGCGCCACGACCTTGTGGAGAATCAGTTCCACAACTCTACACGGTTACCAACAAGAAGATTCCTGTACGGCATCAAGTACGTTCCCTACAAGCAGGACAACTTCAGGATCATGATACCCTACTACGTTTGTGATGTGAAGTATCCAATCCTCAGTGCATCCAGACTACTTGATAGAGGATATGGACTCGACTTCACTCCACGACACTGCACCATCACACATGGACAACAACAAGCGCACCTCATAAGACACTCAGGACTTTTCTACCTACGAGCAGAGAAGATCGACATCCCTACAGGATGCGACATCTACCCAATGAGCACAGACAATGGAAAATCCATTGCTGTGATTCAACCTACAGAGGAAGCAAAACAACAACAAGAACAAATGGCACCACTCACACACACAGACCAAGGACTGCGACAGATCCTTGGTGGAAACGCTGACTACTGGAAACTTGATGGTGACTAGGCCATCAGAGTCCACAAACGACCACGCAAAGCATTGATTACACCACACAACAGTGGTTGCCCAATACCAGAAGGAGAACTAGATGATTGGCGACTAACCGTCATCAACAGACAAGGGCAAGAGCAAGAACAACTACAAGAGAACCCAACACAACTTTCCAAGCAAGAACTACAACGAAGACTAGAAGGTGACAACTGGACTGGAGAAACCAGATTCAGAAGAAAGATAACACCTACACGCAGAGCAACATCAAAGACCACACCAACAAGACAGAGCTCACAACCGCAACGGCTACCACCAACCAGATCAAAGATCCAACTACGAGCACCACAAAAGATATGGAGACCTAAAGCAGCACCTTCTACAAATCTTGACACCACACAACCAAAGGAGACAATCCACAGACCACTCACAGCACAGGAGGACAACCAAGACTACTGGGAAAGACAAGGTGAACACTGGATAAGACACCACACAACACTTAGAACAACTCTCTTCACTCCGACAGATGGACCAGGACATCCACCAATCAGCACACGTGAGCCTCACAGAACTACAATCACTCACAAAAACTTGGGAGAAGTTTCGCAACGCAAAGATGACTGGACAGTCATGGGCAACGCAGCACTACCATTTCAATGGAAAGGAACAACAAGGTTCACCGTAAAGAAAGACTACGAGTACTGACAGCAGATGATGTTACTACACAACGTAATGGTCCCGGACAAACCATCAATGATGGACTACATGGTCAACAATCTACAAGCATTCATCTTTGAGCGCGGAAGAACATAAGGCATACTACAAAGCGACCACGAAGACACACTCAACGCACTTCTAAAAGCTACAGCAGCAAAAGTCGGCTCAATGACTGTTAGGCACGCGCCCTCCTACAGCAGCAACAGTCAAGGAAGTGTTGAGCGACTACACCGAACACTCCTCGGACAGGTACGCGTTGTCAAAGCGCAGGTTGAAAGCAACACATCCAGGAGAACCACGATGAGGAACAACAACACGAGCATCATGAAGCACACAGAGCAAGAGGACTACGACAACCGCAACAGCCCACTCCACAACAAATAGCAGAACACAATCTTACACATCTACCATACAGAAACTGGTGTCCAATTTGCGTTCAAGGCAAAGGATGCCAAGACAACTACAAGAAATAACAAGCACGACAACCCGTCATTCAAGTAGACTTCGATGTCCACAAAGCACTGTCTACTACCTTGGACAGTACGACATGCAGCATGGACGGTAAATCGCTACGTCATCCACTCAGACGGCTACACCAGCTTCGAACGCCGCTGGGGAAGAAACTACGAGCGAGCAATCTGCGAATTTGGCGAGACACTACTTTACCTTCCACCAAAACACAAGAAACTTCCAAAAGCAGACCTACGGATGCAGAAATGCATCTGGCTCGGAAAAGTTTCCGAAACCGGAGAAAACTACGTCGCAACGGAATCAGGCGTACAAAAAGTACGAACAGTACGGAGACTACAACCGGACTTCAAATACGACCTCGCACTGTTGAACAAAGCTTCCGGCACACCATGGGCACCACGACGGAACACCTACAACCCGTCGTTCGCAACACTGTTGGATACGCAACTACAACCGTCAGAGAAAAGAAGGTCCACGCAAGATTTCGGACAACAGACGAACGCGACGGACGACATCGTTGCGGAACCCACAACAAAACAACAACGCACTACACCACCTCCACGACTTCTGTTGAAACCCTCTAGGCCCCGTGCCAATTTGGGAAGCTGTTCTGAGGTCCATGTTCTTGTTGGTTGAGAGCTCCCTTTGGAAACCACATTTGGCTCAAGTCACAAGTAGGGCTCAAGGTCTTGCATGAACTACGTTCGCCTGTGATCGATCTGTGAGAGAGAAAACAGGTTCATTCGCGCTGCTGAGATCGGACGTGTGTACGGTTATTGGACAATACCCCCTTACAACAGTTTGCACTGGTTTGGCTATAACGGTCCTCCCGTATATCCTTTCTACGTGGTTGAGTACATTCAGCTGGAGGGTTCGGTGGACAGCGTCCCACGGGACGTCACCTTGCCGTCTCTTGACAGGTTATCAGCCGTATCACAAGCTCTACACTGGACGGAGAGACAGCTGGTTTATTGCGGGTACAGGAACTGCAGAGGAACAATAACCCACACAGTACAATGGCATCTTCAGCGAGCCCAAGTACTGCAACTTTTGGGAACGACAGTTCGGAAGGATCAAATGGATTGATGGCTCTCCCTGCGGTGATGGACATGGTCGCAGATTCACAGGAGGAACCTGGGAGCGGTGGATCCGCGCTATTCAGCGACATATCCACACCCTCGAGATCATGGAAGCAGATCGCCATCCGTCAGGAATCGAAACAGAAAGATTCTCCGCCGAGAAGATCGTCATCTTCACCTGCGACCCCACGGGCATCGCAGAAGGGCGTGAGATCGACATCAAAGGGTGGGAGATCCAAATCACCCACAAGTGCCGAGTTTCGCGCTGCGATCAAAGAGAAAAACAAGATGGAGATGGAGATCGGGG